GCAGATTCGCCGAAAATCATATTTTCAGAATTTCACAACTCCCAAAACCCCTCTGGGATCCAGTCTTTTTGCTACCCCCCCTCCACACCACCGCCGCCACCACGCCACAGCCACAAGGCACCCGCAGGGCACCCGCGAGGCACCCCGAAAACGTTAAAACAAAAACGGGATCTGCTCGGCAGCCGTCCGCTGGTGCTTTTCCTTGGCATTTGATATTGGCACGCATAGCGATCTGGCGGCGAGCCTGCGCGTCAAAAAAAACACCGCCGGGCGCCCGCAAGGCGCCCACAAGGCACCCGCATGGGCACCCGCAAACCACGGCAAACAACGCCGGAAGCTGCCGGCAAGACGCCGGCATCTCATTCCTGATTGCGTTTGCTACTGAAATGCGAAGTGATTTCGCGGCGCTGCGCACCACCGCGCAATTCGAGCGCACTCGCCGGCAGATCTGCCCAAAGCCGGATTTCAAACATTTGACAGCACTTCCGCCTTCGCAACTCCCAAAACCCCTTATGGAGTCCACTGTGTTTTTGCCCCCCCCCCCCCCCCCGCACCGCCGCGCCGCAGCCACAAGGCCCCCGCAGGGCACCCCGAAAACGTTGAAACAAATACGGGATCTGCTCGACAGCCGTCCGCTGTTGCTTTTCCCTGGCATTTGCTAGCGGCATGCAGAGCGATCTGGCGGCGAGCCTGCACGTCAAAAAAAACACCGCAGGCGCCCGCAAGGCGCCCGCGAGGCACCCGCAAACCCCGGCAAACAACGCCGGAAGCTGCCGGCAAGACGCGGGCATCTCATTCCTCGTTGCGTTTGCTATAGAAATTCTCTGTGATTTCGCGGCGCTGTGCACCACCGCGCAATTCGAGCGCACTCGCCGGCAGATCTGCCGAAAACCGGATTTCAAAAATGTGCCAGCATTTCCCCCTTCAAACCTCCCAAAACCCCTTTGGGGCCCAGTGTGTTTTTGCTAACCCCCCCACCCGCACCACCACAACCACCACACCACAGCCACGCACGCGCACAAAGAGACGCCGAACTCCACGGCGCCAGAACGTGGCTGGACATCGCCCAGTGATCATGTATTGTCGCGGTCTCGTTTGAAGCGCGACGCCAGGTCCAAGCGCAGATCGACCCCGTGAACAGAAACAGGGTGTTGCTTTTCACGACCTGCCCGTAGAAGATGTCAAAGGCTACAACAAAGCACCCGCAGGGCACCCGCAGGGCACCCGCGAGGCACCCCGAAAACATGGGAACGAAAACGAGATCTGCTCGGCAGCCGTCCTCCGCTGATTTCCCCTTGCGTTTGCACTTGGCACGCATAGCGATCTGGCGGCGAGCCTGACAAGCGCAAAACAAAAAAAAAACACCGCAAGACGCCCGCAAGGCGCCCGTGAGGCACCCACAAACCGCGGCAAACAACGCCAAAAGCTGCCGGCAAGACGCCGGCATTTCATTCCTTATTGCGTTGGCTACCGAGATGCCACGTGATTTTGCGGCGATGTGCGCCGCAGCACAATTCGAGCACACTCGCCGGCAGTTTCGCCGAAAATCATATTTCAAAAATTTGACAGCATTGCCCCCTTCACAACTCCCAAAACCCCTCTGAGGTCCAGTTTGTTTTTGGTACCCCCCACAGCCACGCGCGCACGCACGCGCGCGCCACCAAACGCCATCATTCCTTTACGCAACTACAACATGCGCCACATGAAACTACCGGCCCTGCTGATTGGCATTACAACGACTCCGTAGCATTGCCCTCGCGGCCACCACATCAACCGAACATCCACGATGCGCGCGTAAGACGCGCGCAAGGGGCTCACCAGAACCGTGTGAGAAGTCTACTGCGCCAGAAAATGGTTGGAAATCGTCTGGTGATCATGTATTTTTGCGCTCTCTTTTGACGCGTGATGCGCAAAGCACCCGTAAGGCATTCGCCGAGCATTAAAACATGCCGAGATCTGGCCAGCGGTGGCCGATACATGAGTAGTTCTCCTCACACCTGTCGAACCGTGATGCGGGCTCGCATCGCAGTGTGCCATCCTAATCATCATCGCCATCGTCGTCGTCATCCCCATCATCACCATCATCATCATCATCATCATCATCATCATCATCATCACCATCACCATCATCATCATCAGCATCATCATCATAATCATCATCACCATCATCATCATCATCAGCATCATCTTCGTCATCATCATGATCATGATCATCATCATCATCATCATCATCATCAGCATCATCGTCATCAAGCCCATCACGGGCCAGAACACCTCAAGCCAGGGCATATCGGAGCCCAGGGGTTCCGAGGAGGCCTCAACCAAAACAGGCCTGAGCACCTCGCGAACCGCATCTTGGACTCCGCACTTGCCATAATGTCTCTGGCGAAAATGGCCAGAGCACCTCAAGTCAGGGCATATCGAAGTAGCCTGGGGATCCGAGGATGTCTCAAGCAAAACAGGCCTGAATATCCGCGAGCCGCATCCAGAACCCCGAAATGTCAGGGCGTCTCAGGCGAGACTGGCAAGAGCACCTCAAGGCAGGGCATATCGTAGTAGCCCGGGGATCCGAGGATGTCTCTGGCGACGCGGGCCTGAGCACTTCGCAAACCACATCTTGGAACCCAGAGTTGCGAGGGCGTCTCAGGCGAAACGGCAGGGGCATCTCGGACGAGGGGCGCCCCGAAAGCATTGAGGTCACAAATAGGTATCAGACTGTAACACAAGCATTATCATAGTTACTCATTGTCCTTCATCCCCCTCCTCCTCCTTCTCTTCGCACTCCTCCGAAGGGATTGATCGGAACTGCGGGGGCGTCTCATTCGAAACTGGCCGGGCTCACTGGCACGCGGCATATATTTGCCCAGGATTTCGGGAAGGTCTCAGGCGAAACTGATTTGATCACCTCGCGGGCCGCATCTCCAAGCCTAACGTAGCGAGCATGTATTTAACGCAATGGGCGGGGCCACCTCAACCCACGGTTTTTCCGAATTAAAAAACTGGGAGGGGGGGGTGAAACGACATGTGTCGAACCGTGATGCGGGCTCGCATCGCATCGTGCCATCCTCATCATCATCATCATCATCATCATCATCATCATCATCATCATCATCATCATCATCGCCATCGTCGTTGTCATCCCCATCATCATCATCATCATCACCACCACCATCATCATCATCATCATTATCATCATCACCACCACCATCATCAGCATCATCATCATCAGCATCATCTTCGTCATCATCATCATCATCAGCATCATCGTCATCAAGCCCATCACGGGCCAGAACACCTCAAGCCAGGGCATATCGGAGCCCAAGGGTTCCGAGGAGGCCTCAACCAAAACAGGCCTGAGCACCTCGCGAACCGCATCTTGGACTCCGCACTTGCCATGATGTCTCGGGCGAAAACGGCCAGAGCACCTCGAGTCAGGGCATGTCGAAGTAGCCTGGGTACCCGAGGATGTCTCAAGCAAAACAGGCCTGAACATCCGCGAACCGCATCCAGAACCCCGAAATGTCAGGACGTCTCAGGCGAGACTGGCAAGAACACCTCAAGGCAGGGCATATCGGAGCCCAAGGGTTCCGAGGAGGCCTCAACCAAAACAGGCCTGAGCACCTCGCGAACCGCATCTTGGACTCCGCACTTGCCATGATGTCTCGGGCGAAAACGGCCAGAGCACCTCGAGTCAGGGCATGTCGAAGTAGCCTGGGTACCCGAGGATGTCTCAAGCAAAACAGGCCTGAACATCCGCGAGCCGCATCCAAAACCCCGAAATGTCAGGACGTCTCAGGCGAGACTGGCAAGAACACCTCAAGGCAGGGCATATCGTAGTAGCCCGGGGATCCGAGGATGTCTCTGGCGACACGGGCCTGAGCACTTCGCAAACCACATCTTGGAACCCAGATGCGAGGACGTCTCAGGCGAAACGGCCGGGCCATCTCGGACGAGGGGCGCCCCGAAAGCATCGAGGTCACACATAGGTATCAGACTGTAACACAAGCATTATCATAACTACTCATTGTCTTTCCTCCCCCTCCTTCTCCTTCTTTTCGCACTCCTCCGAAGGGATTGATCGGAACTGCGGGGGCGTCTCATTCTAAACTGGCCGGGCTCACTGGCGCGCGGCATATATATTTGCCCAGGATTGCGGGAAGGTCTCAGGCGAAACTGATCGGATCACCTCGCGGGCCGCATCTCCAAGACTAACGTAGCGAGGATGTATTTAACGCAATGGGCGGGGCCACGTCAACCCACGGTTTTCCCGGGTTAAAAAGCCGGGGGGGGGGGGGGTTCAAGCGAAATGTGCTAAACCACCTTTCGCGCGGCATCTGGGAGCCCAGAACTGCGAGGATATCTCGAACTCAAGCGAAGCGGGCCGGACAATCTCAAATCCGGCCGTCTCGGAGACTAGAGTTGCGAGGATGTCCCTTGCGAAACGGACCGGGCCACCACAACATATTGGCAACGCGTCGAGCCCGCTGGCCCCTCGGGCGCCACTCGTTCTTGCCGCGCCCGCGCCCCCCGGCGCCGGCCGGGCGGCCCGGGAACGCTCCACGGCGCGGCAAAACGTTTTATGACGGCAAGAACGACAAGCGAACTGTCGCGACAGAGGCGCCGTCGGCTGTCGAATCCGCCGCGGCGGCCGCGGCGGCACCGGCCGCCGCCTCTTTCCCCCTCCCCCTCGTATCCCTTCTCCTCCTCATCCTGTTCCTCCTCCTCTTCCTTTTTCTCTTCGTTGCCCTCGCTTTAGTTATCCCCCTTCTCCTCCTCCTCCCCCGCCTCATCTCCCTGCCCTCCCCCTTCTCCCCTCGGGCGCGACGGGCGCCTCGAGGAAGGCGAAACGAGGGCCAGAAAAGAGGCGGCCAAACGGCGGGAGCAGGTGGACTGGCTCGGGGAGGAGGAGGGGGAGGAAGAGGGAGCGGAGGGGGCGGGAAGGGAGAGTAGCGCGCAAGCGGCGGCTGGCGCTGCTTCAGCGCAGCTAGTTCCTGGGGGCCTCAGCGGCCGCGGCCGGGCTGGCTCCCCTGGTCCGCCTCGGCGGTCTCGCTGGCGGCCCCGCCCGCGCCCTTTCCCTGGCCCTTGCCCCTCGCCTCGGCTCGGGCGCGCCGCCCGGGGCAAGTCCTCCTGGAGGAAAATGCAAGCGCGCCTTTCGCCGCGGCGCCCGCGTTCTCCGCGCGCGAGCCCAGGCGAATGCGACAGCCCGAGAAGGCCATCGACGAGTTCACGATCGACCGCTCGCAGCCGCGCGCGCGCGCCGACGCCCCCGCGACCCGCGCGCCTAGGCTCGCGAGCGGAGCATCGCGACTGACTCGTCTACGGTCGGGAACTGTCGCGCAGCGTGTCGCCGGGGCGGCCTCGGCGACGCGCCGCGCCGTGGAATATGATAGCGCGTCGCTCCTTTTTCTTGGGCCGCGGGCCAGGGCAGCGCGCGCCGCCCCCAAGGCCCCCCGCCCAGAGGGATAGCGCGTCGCGGCGGGCCGAGATCGGCGGGGCGACGCGCTGAGCGAAATTTGCCGACCGTAGTAGCGCCTGCATTTCCCTCGCGGGGTCCAGCACCTCTCGGCTTTCACCTGCGCCTCGTGGAGCTGCTTCTGGAGCCCGGCGTTCTTCTCCCGCGGGGCCTTCCGCGCGCGGGCGGCGCGCGCCCGGCGCGCGAGGGGCTGCTCGCTCGGGCGAGGCGCCGCGAGCTGCGCGCGCGGGCTCAGCCTCGCGGCCGCGCCCCGCAAGCGGAGCCGCGCCCCGCGCGCAGGGCGCGCGCCGCTTACCCGGCGCCCAGTGGCCTCGTTGGCCACGCGCAGCTGGAGCTGCGCCTGCTGCAAGATCTCCTTGCGCCCCGAGTGCAGCGTCTTGTCGACGGGGTGGAAGCCGCCGTGGTAGAAGATCTCCCACTCGTCGGCTCTCTTCTTGTAGTCCCTTGCCTCCTGCCGCGCCTGCGCGAGGTCCCGCAGGGCGTCCTCCAGCCTGGCTCGCGAAGGCCCCCGGGATGCCGCGGAATCGCGCGCGCTGGCAAGGGGGCATCCGAAACAAGGCGCGCGCGCGCTCGCGCCATTGTCGGGCGGTCGCGGCGCCGAGCGCCGACTCGACCCGGCGCGCGCGCCCGGCCGTCGGGTGTCCCTCGCCGCGCGCGTTTCCAGCGTCGCGCGGCCCGCGGGCCTGGTCTCGGCCTCGGCGGCTTTCCGCCGCAGCTCCTCGGCGTGCTCGGCGGCGACCTCCCGCTCGCGCTGCGCCCTGCGACATGGGGGCGGCGGGCCGCGCCCCGGCGCTCGACCCAGAAGCCGGGGCATCGCCAAAGCGCGCGGCACCGCTGCGCCTGCCTGCGAAGCTCCCAACGAGAATAAGCGCTGGCTGCAGCGGAGCGCGCGGCTCTCGCGACGCCCCGACCTCTGCGGTCGTCGGCGGCGGCCCTCCGCCCCCGCGCCTCGCTTCCTCCGCCGCCGGCCTGGCGACAGCACTGCCCCTTCACAACTCCCAAAACCCCTTCTGGGGTCCAGTTTGTTTTTGGTGCCCCCCACAGCCGCGCACGCACGCACGCACGCGCCACCAAACGCCATCATTCCTTTACGCAACTACAACATGCGCCACATGAAACTACCGGCCCTGCTGATTGGCATTACAACGACTCCGTAGCATTGCCCTCGCGGCCACCACATCAGCCGAACATCCACGATGCGCGCGTAAGACGCGCGCAAGGGGCTCACCAGAACCGTGTGAGAAGTCCACTGCGCCAGAAAATGGTTGGAAATCGTCGGGTGATCATGTATTTTTGCGCTCTCTTTTGACGCGTGATGCGCAAAGCACCCGTAAGGCATTCGCCGAGCATTAAAAAATGCCGAGATCTGGCCAGCGGTGGCCGATGCATGAGTAGTTCTCCTCACACCTGTCGAACCGTGATGCGGGCTCGCATCGCAGTGTGCCATCCTAATCATCATCGCCATCGTCGTCGTCATCCCCATCATCATCATCATCGTCATCATCATCATCATCATCATCACCATCACCATCATCAGCATCAGCATCATCATCATCAAAATCATCATCACCATCATCATCATCAGCATCATCTTCGTCATCATCATCATCATCATCATCATCATCATCATCATCATCATCATCATCATCATCATCATGGTCATCAGCATCATCGTCATCAAGCCCATCACGGGCCAGAACACCTCAAGCCAGGGCATATCGGAGCCCAGGGGTTCCGAGGAGGCCTCAACCAAAACAGGCCTGAGCACCTCGCGAACCGCATCTTGGACTCCGCACTTGCCATGATGTCTCGGGCGAAAACGGCCAGAGCACCTCAAGTCAGGGCATGTCGAAGTAGCCTGGGGATCCGAGGATGTCTCAAGCAAAGCAGGCCTGAACATCCGCGAGCCGCATCCAGAGCCCCGAAATGTCAGGGCGTCTCAGGCGAGACTGGCAAGAGCACCTCAAGGCAGGGCATATCGTAGTAGCCCGGAGATCCGAGGATGTCTCTGGCGACGCGGGCCTGAGCACTTCGCAAACCGCATCTTGGAACCCAGAGTTGCGAGGGCGTCTCAGGCGAAACGGCCGGGGCATCTCGGACGAGGGGCGCCCCGAAAGCATTGAGGTCACACATGGGTATCAGACTGTAACACAAGCATTCTCATAGTTACTCATTGTCCTTCATCCCCCTCCTCCTCCTTCTCTTCGCACTCCTCCGAAAGGATTGATCGGAACTGCGGGGGCGTCTCATTCTAAACTGGCCGGGCTCACTGGCACGCGGCATATATTTGCCCAGGATTTCGGGAAGGTCTCAGGCGAAACTGATTTGACCACCTCGCGGGCCGCATCTCCAAGCCTAACGTAGCGAGGATGTATTTAGCGCAATGGGCGGGGCCACCTCAACCCACGGTTTTTCCGAATTAAAAAACTGGGGTGGGGTGGGGGGGGGGGGAAGCGAAATGTGTCGAACCGTGATGCGGGCTCGCATCGCATCGTGCCATCCTCATCATCATCATCGCCATCGTCGTTGTCATCCCAATCATCATCATCATCATCATCATCATCATCACCACCATCATCATCATCATCATCACCATCACCATCATCATCACCACCATCATCAGCATCAGCATCAGCATCAGCATCAGCATCAGCATCAGCATCATCATCATCATCATCATCATCATCATCATCATCATCATCATCATCATCATCATCATCATCATCATCATCATCATCATCATCATCATCTTCATCATCATCATCATCATCATCATCATCATCATCATCGTCATCAAGCCCATCACGGGCCAGAACACCTCAAGCCAGGGCATATCGGAGCCCAAGGGTTCCGAGGAGGCCTCAACCAAAACAGGCCTGAGCACCTCGCGAACCGCATCTTGGACTCCGCACTTGCCATGATGTCTCGGGCGAAAACGGCCAGAGCACCTCGAGTCAGGGCATGTCGAAGTAGCCTGGGTATCCGAATATGTCTCAAGCAAAACAGGCCTGAACATCCGCGAGCCGCATCCAGAACCCCGAAATGTCAGGACGTCTCAGGCGAAACTGGCAAGAACACCTCAAGGCAGGGCATATCGTAGTAGCCCGGGGATCCGAGGATGTCTCTGGCGACGCGGGCCTGAGCACTTCGCAAACCGCATCTTGGAACCCAGATGCGAGGACGTCTCAGGCGAAACGGCCGGGCCATCTCGGACGAGGGGCGCCCCGAAAGCATTGAGGTCACACATGGGTATCAGACTGTAACACAAGCATTATCATAGCTACTCATTGTCTTTCCTCCCCCTCCTCCTCCTTCTCTTCGCACTCCTCCGAAGGGATTGATCGGAACTGCGGGGGCGTCTCATTCTAAACTGGCCGGGCTCACTGGCGCGCGGCATATATTTGCCCAGGATTTCGGGGAGGTCTCAGGCGAAACTGATCGGATCACCTCGCGGGCCGCATCTCCAAGCCTAACGTAGCGAGGATGTATTTAACGCAATGGGCGGGGCCACCTCAACCCACGGTTTTCCCGAGTTAAAAAGCCGGGGGGGGGGGATCAAGCGAAATGTGCTAAACCACCTTTCGCGCGGCATCTGGGAGCCCAGAACTGCGAGGATATCACGAAATCAAGCGAAGCGGGCCGGACAATCTCAAATCCGGCCGTCTCGGAGACTAGAGCCGCGAGGATGTCCCTTGCGAAACGGACCGGGCCACCACAACATATTGGCAACGCGTCGAGCCCGCGGGCCCCTCGGGCGCCGCTCGTTCTTGCCGCGCCCACGCCCCCCGGCGCCGGCCGGGCGACCCGGGAACGCTCCACGGCACAACGTTTTATGACGGCAAGGACGAAAAGCGAACTGTCGCGACAGAGGCGCCGTCGGCTGTCAAATCCGCCGCGGCGGCACCGGCCGCCGCCTCCTCCCCCTCCTCCTCGTACCCCTTCTCCTCCTCATCCTGTTCCTCCTCCTCTTCCTTTTTCTCTTCGTTGCCCTCGCTTTAGTTATCCCCCTTCTCCTCCTCCTCCTCCTCCTCCGCCTCGTCTCCCTGCCCTCCCCCTTCTCCCCTCGGGCGCGACGGGCGCCTCGAGGAAGGCGAAACGAGGGCCAGAAAAGAGGCGGCCAAACGGCGGGAGCAAGTGGACTGGCTCGGGGAGGAGGAAGGGGGGGAAGAGGGAGCGGAGGGGGCGGGAAGGGAGAGTAGCGCGCAAGCGGCGGCTGGCGCTGCTTCAGCGCAGCTAGTTCCTGGGGGCCTCAGCGGCCGCGGCCTGGCTGGCTCCCCTGGCCCGCCTCGGCGGTCTCGCTGGCGGCCCCGCCCGCGCCCTTTCCCTGGCCCTTGCCCCTCGCCTCGGCTCGGGCGCGCCGCCCAGAGCAAGTCCTCCTGGAGGAAAATGCAAGCGCGCCTTTCGCCGCGGCGCCCGCGTTCTCCGCGCGCGGGCCCAGGCGAATGCGACAGCCCGAGAAGGCCATCGACGAGTTCACGATCGACCGCTCGCAGCCGCGCGCGCGCGCCGACGCCCCCGCGACCCGCGCGCCTGGGCTTGCGAGCGGAGCATCGCGACTGACTCGTCTACGGTCGGGAACTGTCGCGCAGCGCGTCGCCGGGGCGGCCTCGGCGACGCGCCGCGCCGTGGAATATGATAGCGCGTCGCTCCTTTTTCTTGGGCCGCGGGCCAGGACAGCGCGCGCCGCCCCCAAGGCCCCCCGCCCGGAGGGATAGCGCGTCGCGGCGGGCCGAGATCGGCGGGGCGACGCGCTGAGCGAAATTTGCCGACCGTAGTAGCGCCTGCATTTCCCTCGCGGGGTCCAGCACCTCTCGGCTTTCAGCTGCGCCTCGTGGGGCTGCTTCTGGAGCCCGGCGTTCTTCTCCCGCGGGGCCTTCCACGCGCGGGCGGCGCGCGCCCGGCGCGCGAGGGGCTGCTCGCTCGGGCGCGGCGCCGCGAGCTGCGCGCGCGGGCTCAGCCTCGCGGCCGCGCCCCGCAAGCGGTGCCGCGCCCCGCGCGCAGGGTGCGCGCCGCCTGCCCGGCGCCCAGTGGCCTCGTTGGCCACGTGCAGCTGGAGCTGCGCCTGCTGCAAGATCTCCTTGCGCCCCGAGTGCAGCGTCTTGTCGACGGGTGGAAGCCGCCGTGGTAGAAGATCTCCCACTCGTCGGCTCTCTTCTTGTAGTCCCTTGCCTCCTGCCGCGCCTGCGCGAGGCCCCGCAGGGCGTCCTCCAGCCTGGCTCGCGAGGGCCCCCGGGATGCCGCGGAATCGCGCGCGCTGGCAAGGGGGCATCCGAAACAAGGCGCGCGCGCGCGCTCGCGCCATTGTCGGGCGGTCGCGGCGCCGAGCGCCGACTCGACCCGGCGCGCGCGCGCCCGGCCGTCGGGTGTCCCTCGCCGCGCGCGTTTCCAGCGTCGCGCGGCCCGCGGGCCTGGTCTCGGCCTCGGCGGCTTTCCGCCGCAGCTCCTCGGCGTGCTCGGCGGCGACCCCCCGCTCGCGCTGCGCCCTGCGACATGGGGGCGGCGGGCCGCGCCCCGGCGCTCGACCCAGAAGCCGGGGCATCGCCAAAGCGCGCGGCACCGCTGCGCCTGCCCACGAAGCTCCCAACGGGAATAAGCGCTGGCTGCAGCGGAGCGCGCGGCTCTCGCGACGCCCCGACCTCTGCGGTCGTCGGCGGCGGCCCTCCGCCCCCGCGCCTCGCTTCCTCCGCCGCCGGCCTGGCGCCAGCTGCTTCCGCGGCCGCGGGCGCTGCTCCCAGAGCCACCTGCGGCCCCGGCTCTTGCGGTTGGCAATTCGCCTGCGCTCCGCCAGGCCGCCTTGCTTCCTGCGAGCCCCGGGCGGCCGCCGCCTCGTTCCGGGTTCTGCTCGCCGCCGCGGGCTTGGGGCTGGAGGGCGCGTCGCTGTGGCTGCTCGTGGAACTCCTCGTAGAACTCCGGGTGCGCTTCCTGTCCGGGGCGCGCGACGAGCAGCCGGCCAGCTCGACGACCCGCCCGCGAGTCGCCGGCGCCGCGGCGCGGCGCGGCCCAGCGCCCGACGTCGCCCTGGAAACGACGACGCGCGGGGGGGGCGCCGAGCCAGGGCCGCTCGTCGCGCTAGCCCCGTGAAGATCCACGCCGGTCGCCGCTGCGCCCTCAGGCGGGCGCCGTCCTCCAGGCTCGCTGACAGCGGAGCCGCCGGGTCCAGGGGCGCGCCGCGCGCGCGGCCCTGGGGGGGAGTCCAAAGCTCGTCACTCGCCCCCAACACGAGAGAATGGATGACCTGCAGTTGATGAGAGCAACCGCACAGCGTGGCCCTCAGGGCCGGCTACGGCCCACATGATTTCTACGGTTGCCAGCAGCAAACAAAACGCATGTCAATAAGCGTCGGCGACGGTCCGGCTAAGGCCCGGCCATTACTCGGCGCACGTTTCTTTGATGTGCACGTGTTGGCTTTAACATGTGTAGAACATATACCTCGGGTGCTGAAGTGGTCAAGCGTTGAGAACAGCGTCTGCGTTTGCAAACAAAAAATCACGGCCGCGAGGGCCCGTTTTGGACCACTTGTCGCGCATAATATGTTTAGCACGATCACCAATGGGTTGTGCAACGGCTAATGCCAACATGGCGCCGTGTCGTGCGCCCCGCCAGAAAACCGTTCCAGGGTGAGAACTGCGTTGTGTTTCGACGTCGCGTGCGGAGCAGAAGCTCCAGATAAAAACCTCCCGTGTGACGTGGGACAGCACTTGGAATGCCCAGGACCTGCGGCAGGTGCGTGAGCCCAGCCACCGACCAACCCCGCTGCGAGTGGATCGCTTTGAAGAGATCGGTTCCCGTGGCTTCCGGGCGAACTCTGACCGTCGCCTCGGCGCCTTTGGCGTTGGCAATGGTCAGATCCAAGTCGCCATGCGCCGGTGCCACAGCGCTGGTGCGTGCCACGCACTATGGCCTTCACCCTTGAACCGAAGGCTGACGAAATCGGAAACAGGGCGAAGGATAAGGAAGAGGTACTACTCCAGTTCCGTTTCGCCTTTTCCTCCTCCTCCTCCTCCTCCTCCTCCTCCTCCTTCGTCCTTTCCCCTGCTTCTCCTCCTGCTCGCACTGCTGTTGCTTTTTCTCCCGCTGGTCATCCTGCTCCTGCCCTCCTTTCTCCTGCTCCTGATCCCGCTTCAGAGCCTGTTCCTCCTGCTCCACCCTCGAGGATGGAAGGATGAGGACGTATAATCAGATGAGGAGTAAGGTTTGAAGCATGGGGAAGTAAGCAAAAGGAGAGTCAGAGAGGGAACTGACGCACCCGGTCGCTACTCGATGTAGTAAAGGTGTACCCAACGGCGGGTCAGCCAACGAACTTGCGAAGCGACTCCCGAGCTGCGAAGCGATAGTAAACACCCAACGCAACGGCAATTCGGAGAACCAACTGTCGAGCTGAGCTATCCTTCTTCTCCTCCTAGATCGTCCTCGTCCTCCCTACCCTTTCCGAGTCTCCTGGGGCCTCGATCCTCGACTTTCTGCATCCTCCTCCCTTCCTCATCATCCTCATCCTCCTGCTCCTCTTCCTCCTGATCCTCGTCTTTCTACTCCTTCTCTCCCTCGATAGTGGGCTCTCTAGCATCCAGCTCCGGAATCCGGAATCCGGAACCCGGAATTCCGGATTCTGGACTCAGAGGTCCAATCCGAAATCCGGAATCCGGAATCTGGAATTCTGGATTCTGACATCCGAGGCCCAATCCGGAATCCAGAATCCGGAATTCTGGATTCTAGATTCCGAAATCCAATTCAGAATCCGGAATCCAAAATCCGGAATTCTGGGTTCTGATGGACTCAGATGTTCAATCCGGAATCCGGAAACCGGAATCCGGAACCCCGAATTCTGTATTCTGGATTCCAAGGCCCAATCCGGAATCCGGAATCCGGAACCCGGAATTCCGGATTCTGGACTCAGAGGTCCAATCCGAAATCCGGAATCCGGAATCTGGAATTCTGGATTCTGACATCCGAGGCCCAATCCGGAATCCAGAATCCGGAATTCTGGATTCTAGATTCCGAAATCCAATTCAGAATCCGGAATCCAAAATCCGGAATTCTGGGTTCTGATGGACTCAAATGTTCAATCCGGAATCCGGAAACCGGAATCCGGAACCCCGAATTCTGTATTCTGGATTCCAAGGCCCAATCCGGAATCCGGAATCCGGAACCCGGAATTCCGGATTCGGGACTCAGAGGTCCATTCCGGATTCCGGAATCCGGAATCCGGAATTCTGTATTCTGGACTCCAAGGCCGAATCCGGAATCCGGAATCCGGAATCCGGAACCCGGAATTCCGGATTCTGGACTCAGAGGTCCAATCCGGAATCCAGAATCCGGAATCCAGAATCCGGAATCCGGAATTCTGGATTCTGGATTCTGGATTCGGATTCTGGATTGGACCTCTTCGTCTTGACTCTCCGGATCGCCACTCGCAAATGGAAAATAGATGTGAATACAAGTGGCGCCGCCGGCTGGCGGGCTTAAACACTGGAGCCCCAAAGCAGAATGCACAGTACCATGGAGGAATATATGCTCCACCTCCCCTCGGCCTGATCATACAAACCGAATTTGTTTGTGTCTATTGGTACAGGCCTCACGTACACCGCAGCAAACTCGGCGAATGAATACGGACACCTGTAACAAACACACGCGGGCTCAATACATCAAACGAGTAACAGACAGATGCGATGACATACAGGGTACAACTGAAGTATAACAACACTGTACAAAGGGTGGTTTGCATCATGGCGAGGTCTCCGCTCTATTTTTATTTGCCATTGCAATGCTGCACAATGATTTCAAGTGGTTACCGAGAACCGAGATTGAGAAAGAGAGGGGGAGATCACCCAAATAACATGTGATTAACCTAGCGGTCCGGGCGCGTGGACCTCGACCTGGGCCCTATTGCCTTTGCCCTCGTAGTTCCCGTAGATGTAATGCATGTACCGTATGCGGCCGAGCATGTTGTGACGATCGTCGATCCCCATTTACTGGTCGGCCTCCCATGTGTTGAACTCCTCGTCAAAATCCTGCCAGTCGCACAGCGTGGCTACGTCAGAACACTCCATAAACTTCTTGACGGTCAGGTCGACGCGATGAAGGCGCGGCTGGGCGGCCCCTATTGCGGCTCCTCTTGTCATATTCGGTTCCCGCGCACGGGTCGTCTGCCCAGATCTGTCGTGGACCCAGAAGGCGTAGTCCTCCGCTGGTAAGTGGGCATGCCCGAGGATCCTCTCCTCTGAGCCAATACCGCGGTATTGCCACGGTTGCCTTGGTTTGGTGCCACGTGATCTGTGGTAACCTGCCGGCCTGTTGGTGACGGCGGCGAATTTGTCATAGTGCGCAACAAGACCGTCCGCAATGGTAATCTGCTCCCATGCCAGCTCCTTGGTCAGGAAGCGCAGGGCCCGCGTGCCCGTGGCTAAGTCACCATGCTGGCTATCGACGGCCATGCCACTGTAAAAACATTTGATGTCGGTCGGCGTGGGATTGCCGGGCCACAGCATTTTGAACCGAGTGGTGAACATGCTGACGCATCTCGGCTCCTGGGCCTCTGGGACGTCGAACATATCCCTGCGTGATACCATAAATGTCTCGATCAAAACATCGGCGCAGGTAATACGTTCGGCACCATCGGTCCAGGGTCACTGTCCCGATCATCAGAAAACAGGCACTGGAGAAGGCTTACGTCACGGACCCCCACGCGTCGCGTTCCTTGATCCAATGTTCTGAGAGGGCTGCCCTCCAAACCAACGGGGTCCTCCCAGAACGTAATGGGTAACGTGCGGTGCGCGCCGCGGTGCAGAAGCCTGAACGAACCGTGGTGCGAATTGCGCGCACCGGCTGGTGCAATTATCCGGCTGGGTCCGTCATGTCGCGCGGCTCATGGCTGATCCGCCCGACCATCCGTTCACCCCAGAACAACCTTGCCCTCTGGGGGATCTGCGTGACGTGCTCAGGCTTCCTGCGGCAATGGGGATCGAAGTGGGGGTGCTCCAATAGTCACAAGAACTCGATGCGTGATTCGATCAGGTTACCCAGCCTCATCTTACCCCAGTCGGGGTTGGCGATCAGGTCTGCCTTGCACGCAGCGCTCGGCCTCACAGGGGCCGGGGGTGACGGATGTGTGGGGACTCCCGTCAGCGGCTGGTTATCCTGCTTGCCACCTGATCCACTGCCCCTCTCTGAGCCTTTCGAACCCCCTTTGCCTTTGACGTCCGCTGGTGATGGTCATTCTCCGGGCGGCGTCGGTGACACGCTTGGGGGGTCACCGTAGGTTTTGCTAGCACTCTTGGCTCTCTTGGCCGCGGGCTTGCCCATGACTTCAGCACCAGCAGCGAAAAGGTTTGACGAGGCTGCTTTGCTGGCGTCGAGCACCGCTGTTGCTGGGGTGGCCTGGCCCTGTGGCAGTGGGGCCTTCGGGACTGCCTTAACGAAAAACTGCTCCGAAGGAGCTGCCTTTGGAGCCGCCTCGACAGGCCAGGCAATGGGTCCGATGTTCGGAGCTGCCATGTTTCCCCTCCTCCTCCTCCTCCTCCTCCTCCTTCTCCTGCTCCTCATGCTCCTGCTCCTGCCCCTCCTCCCTGTCCCTGGGCAGGGTCCTGCAAGAGCCGGCCCCCCACGACGAAGGCCCCCATCGCGACGGTGGCGATGCTGAAGCGCAGGGCCATGACCTCCGACACCCCCTGCCCGAGACGAGGGCGAGGCGAGGCGAGCGCCGGTGCCGCTCCGCGCGTGCGCCCCGAGCGCCCCCTCAGGAGGTCGGCGGCGGGGCCGCAGCCCCTCGGCGAGGGCGACGAGGGCAGGATGAGGACAGACTCCGGCGGCGGGCCTGAATGGTGGCTCGTGGGCGTGGTTTCATAAGGGGGGGAAAGGTACACTTGTCGGGCCCTCATAGCCCTCTTTTGGGCCCTGCCCTCAAGGGCTCCTTTTCTGCAGCCCGAGCTGCCCCCCCTCATTTTTTCGTCCCCCCCATCACGCGGCGCCCAAAGGGCAGGACGAGGACAGATTCTGGCGGCGGGCCTGCCTGGAGGATGTCTCGGGCGCCGCGGCCGCCCCAGAGCGTTCCGGAACGCTCTGAGCGAAAGTTCTGGAGTGCTCTGGCGCGGTCTGCCCTCATCCTGTGGGCCTGCCTGGCTCCCCCCTCCTGTTGCCGAGCTCTGCCTTCGGCCCCTCAAGAGGATTGGGGAGGGGCTCCGAGTCTCCTTCGTGGAGCAGTTTGTCCTTTCTGGGCTTCGAGGAGGCCTCCGGCGGTCAGAGGGCAGGCAACAACCTGAGAAAGAACATTCGGACGTCTGCGGGCGGTCTCTCCGCCAGCATTGGCGCAGAGGCCGTTCGCGGACGTTCCGAAATTTCTGTTTACGTTATGAATGGCTCTGCGTATCATGTCCAGTTGTTAACGCAATCTATCTTCTTCGAACGAGACGCGATGGTGGGCAGATCCCTGTGGGCTGGTCCCCCTAAAGGCCTGACTACATTTTCTCCAGTCGACCAGTGGGAATGAAGCCAGATACGTCGAGGTACAGCTATATCGGCACATCGAGACAAATCCAAAGATCCCCAAGCAAAACTGGAGCAGACCGCGGAAACTCCCGCGCGAATCGAAGGACACCAGAAGTTGGTAAGCAGTCGACGACGGTGCCCGCCAGCGCGATCTCCATGGTCGGCGGTGGACAAACCTCCCTTGAGTACACCTCCCCCCAGTGCAAACGGCCTGGGACCGAAACCGACGGACCTGGACACGCAAAAATGAAGGCCGCGACGCCCTCTCGCGAACCGGAAACGGCCAGTTCGCTAATCGACGTGTCAGGGTAGGAGGTCCATCCACATCCGACGTGGGCCCAGCGGGGCGGGGGGCGCACCACAGAGCTGTCCATCGCCCCCGCGGTCGCGTCGTCTGTTTCCAGCGTCTTGATCAGCGCCTGGGCGGTGCCGGGCCCCCCGCGGGCGCGCCAAGAGCGGGCCAGGCTGGGCGCCGTGCGGCCCCCCCTCCCCCGGGGAGGGGTAGTGTGTCGGACGTGTTTCGCGATCGCGCCTGGCTTCTCTCTCTCTCCCTCTCTCCTCTCCCCTGCGTATCTCCCTCTCTCTATCTCTTCTCCCCAGGCGGTCCCAGGAGGCCTCCCCAGGCGGCTCCAGGAGGCCTCCCCAGGCGGCGCCAGGAGGCGTCCCCAGGCGGCCCCAGGAAGCATCAGGAGGCGGTCCCAAGAGGCCCCAGGAGGCGTCCCCAGGCGGCCCCAGGAGGATCTGTAGGAACCTCTGCGGTCGAAGTCCGGAGGTTTGTTCGGTAGAGTCTGGACGTTTGTTCGGTAGAAATCTGGAGGCTTGTTCGGTAGAAATCTGGAGGTTTTATTCGGTAGAAGTCCAGAGGTTCGTTCGGTAAAGTCTGGAGGTTTGTTCGGTAGAAGTCTGGAGGTTTGTTGGGTAGACGTCCGGAAGTTTGTTCGGTAAAGTCTGGAGGTTTTTTTCTGGCGTTCGTGGGTTTGCTGTACTTTCGAGTCCGCCGCGGGTCCTCATAAGACAAGTGGGCGCCGCCGTCGAAGTTCAAGTCGCCACCAACCACCACCAGCCGTTGCTGCGGCGCTGCGGAGGCCCAACGGCGGTATACTTTCACTCCTGCTGCCAAGCGGCTCCGGTCACTGTGCGTCCGGCCGTGCTCGCGGCTGTTCAGCAGCGTGAGGGCTGCAGGAGCTGCCCAGAGGGCAGCCACGTGGCGGCAGCCACGCGTCGGCCACGCGGCCAGGAAAACATCGATCGTGGCAGTGTGGACGATCGCCGTCCTGGTCGGCCGGGCGAGTAGCAGATTAGAAAGAAGAAGGGGGAAAGGAGCACGAGGAGTGGTCGACGGTCGACGCGCTCGTCGACCCCGAAGAGCCTGCGCTGGTAGGGCGTGGGCTGTAAGATGCCATGGAATGCCCACCAGGACGAGCATCGCCCCATCTTTTTTTCCCCCTGATGTATGCTGGCGTCGGAGCTGACGTCGGAGCTGTTGTCGGTGTGCCGAAGCACTGTAGAGTTCGCGTCTGTCGACGCGTGTCCGATGAGTGCACCAAGCTGTTCGCATCTGTCGATTCTGCCCGAGAAGCATTGTAGAGTTCGTGTCTGCCGATGCTGGTCCTGGCGGCGTCGGTGCTGTTGTCGGCGCATTGCCCTATCTTTCGGGGCACTCGGAGCGCGCGGGCGACTGAGCCAGGAAGGACGCCCAGAGGCGCGGCCGCAAGCTGAGGCCGGCCAAGCTGCATCATGCGAAATCGTCAGCCGGCGTGGGGAAACAACTGACGAAGGGTGAGGGCCCTGGCTGGTCTTCAAAGGACGTGGCTGGGTGCCTCACGAGATGGAGGGGCAGCGACACGTCCAGCAACACTCACGTCTATCCACATGTGATCCTCGACAACGTCGTTTGCTGGCGCCTCTGCTTACCACGGGAGGAGCAAAATACGCTGTGTGCGGTCCAAATCACCACTATCAGCGGGTTGCGCGCGTCCGTCCAGGGGTGCCCAGCGCCGGCTAAAACTACGACATGTCGGCGCTCTTCTCCCAGAGGAAATCGTGGACCGCCAAGCCGATGAGGTCGCAATCGATGCCGAGCTGTTCCACCTAGGGCTGGTTCCACTCGATGTTGGTGGGCTCGTCGGGGACGTTCGGGACGAGGCCGTTGGCGATTGGCATGCGGTCGGCCTTGACCTCGCCTTTGCGACGGAATTGTTTGTAGTGTTGTTCCAAGGTTTGGGCCAATCGCTTGGTCTGAAGGAGAAGAGAGGCCGGAAGGATGATGAGGAGGAGGGGGAGGAGGAGGAGGAGGAGGAGAAGGATGAGGAGGAGGAGGAGCAGGAGGAGGAGGGGGAGCGCCACCGCTGGCCGGCCTATGAGAGGCTGGCGGCCAGTCGGCGCTGTAGCGCCAGTTGCGTCTGCCTCTCTCCTCCCCCTCATCCGCCTTCTCTTACTCCTCTTCATCCTCCTCATCTTCCTCCCCTTTCAGTCCGCCTGGGCGCTCGGCGCTGCTGGCCATGGAGTCGTGTGCGAGGGGGGATGATCAAACTAGAGCACCTGTAATAAAACAGAGGAGAGGCGACCGGTAGACAAGAGGAGGTAATGAACCTCTGGGATGGGAGAAGTGGGGTAGTTGCGTCAGGCAAGTGGCGACGGTTGGAGCTAGCGCTGCTGTGAGTCGCTGTGAGAATGTGGCCGTGGCCACACTCGCCGAGGGCGGGATGGCGCAATGACCTCTCCCCCGTCCAAAGGACCTCCCCAGGACACGACTCTCAATCCCAACGCCTCCTCCTCCTTCTCCTCCCCTTTCAGCCTTCCTTCTCCCTCTCCTCCTGGGCCAGCGCTCTGCAATGTGCTTCTCCTGGGCATGCGTTGGCGCAGATGGCCCGTTTCTCGGCAGCGCCACTCGCCTCTGCCCTGGGATGCGCCTCGACCGCAGTCGTTCCTCCTGTCATGCTCATGCTCGTCATGCTCGTCATGCTCCTCCTGCTCATCTTCCTCCTTCCCCCTGCCATTCCGCGCACTCTTTTCCCATTCCCCACTCTGGTGCCTCCTCTTCTGATCATTCCCCAAATCAGAACTTGCCTCTGTAGGGCTCGTGGCGGATTCACATGGTTAGGTGAGGCATGGCGCCGATTTCGGCGGCACGCCTGGGTGCCTGGGTGCAATGCCCGGGTGCCTCGGTGCCCGGTAGCCCGGGTGCTCGGGTACTCGGGTGCCCGGGTGCCAGGGCGCCCAAACGATCTGCAATCCTCAAAATAGTGAGGATGTGGATAATTCTGAAGAGGATCTGTAAGGATCCGCCTGCTGGTCTTCAAAAGTGCGTTTGAATAAAATCCTCCTCCTCCTCCTCCTTCTCCTCCTCCTCCTCCTCTTCCCCCGTCCTTCTCCTCCTGTTGTCTCGTCCTCCTCCCTCTCTCCTCTTGCCCCTCTACTCCTCCTCACCCTCCCCTCCTCGTCCTCCTCTTTTCTCTTATCATCCTCTTATCTCTTATCATCGTCTTCCCCGTTTCTCTCGTTCTCTTGCCTTGTCTTGCTGACGATGCTGGTATCGACGTTGCAATGCTGGCTTGCTGAAGATGATTTCCTCAGCGTTTGTATTCTGAGCTGTCATCAAGAAGCACGGTATCGAAAACGCACCACAACCACTTGAGCAACGTATTGACGCACACTGTTTTGGGATGTAACCCTTCTGCGATTGATATGAACCGTCCAACTAAATCCTCATCCCCGTATGTCCAGAAATACCGAGCGTTTCCTATTTGCGGAACTTGGTCTGAGCAGATATGCATGACCAAATGCATTTTGGGCCTCATCTTCCAAAGTTTTGCGTTTCTTTCGAAGCTAGTGGATGGCAGCCTGACGTATATGGAAGCACAGATTTCACAAACCTCTTTGATTTCGCGTTGGCCTTCTTGTCGAACGAACATGCTTTCATTATCGAGTATGTCGTGAAAACGAGCCATGCACTGGGCGACACCAAGAACCAACCATTTCATCAGTTTGATCTCCAGGGTTACAAAATCTCGAGATGAGGTCCAGCGCATACAGAATCAACATTCTCATCGCCGCAGCTTTCCCAGATAGCTTAGGCCAATTCCCCCCAGTAGACCTCAATCGATCAACAGTGATGGGGCCATGCAGTCGGCAGGGGCACTTCGTCTCATTGGACCAACTAGTGAGATCAGCTTGGCAGCGCTTCGCGCGCTCTGCGTATGTAGAGCCACCAAACGAATTTTTCAGAACACCGACATGCCATATCACATTTGCAACAATATGGCTCGTGATACCCAAGTCACATGTGTGAAGGACGTCCACCGTCACGCACTCTAGCCTGAGGCCAAGCACTTCTTGAAACAGAACTGGCGCCGCGCGCCCCGTTTCTGGGCAATCTCTAATGTGCGTTTCGTGTGTCCACCTCGTAGTGCGCCAACCAGCGCCCGCACTGACATCCGTCCAGGCCCTGTCTCTGTGGGTGTTACTGGCGCGGCAGAAAGGGCGCGTGATCTCGCTCTCGTTCCACTGGGGGAAATAAGCAATCTTTGTCGACTTGCCAATCCCCACGTACCTGGGAAAAGGCACCCTCGAAAGCCGCCTGCCAGAGGCGCACCTCCACCGTCTAAATGGCGACCTTTCCAATCGACGTGGGGCCATTCACCGCTCAACATCACATTGCAACTCCACCCGGGAATGCGAAGTAAGGAATCAAACGTATCAGATGTCATGTCTGGTTTGCGGCACGCAGTGTAAAGAAATCTTGTTTGAATAGTTTTGCCGGTTGCTGTGGGCGAATTCCAAGCCGGCCCATGCATGGAGTCTGCTTTTCAGAATTCACCGCCGTCGCCATGGAAACCCAGAAGAACACATCGACTCCAGGTCTCCCGATGGGGGATGCGGATGCTTCCTCGCGAATTCAGTGCCTGACAGTTGTTCCCAACGTGAAAAGCAGCTCGCCGTCGTGACCCACGATGCGCTGATCCCAGGCATCTTTGCGCCTTTCACAGACGCGGCTGAAGAACTTGCGAGGACAGATGACTGGGCGTGGCACGGCCCTGCCAGACTTCAATGGGACCTCGACCCAATCAATCGGTGGCGAGCCCTCTGGATAGCCGAGCGCGTTTTTCAAATCCCTCAAAAGATCCTGAGGCCATCTGCCATAAGGTCCGACTGCGGCCAAGTCATCAATTCCAGTGGCGCCCTGCTGTTGGGCTGCATATGCGCATGGCGGAACTTTGACCGACGATCGGGCTCCCGTCGCCCAGTCCTTGCGCATGGCATCCGTGAGTGGCGCACTCGCTGGTGTAGATGGTGGAGCTGCATTGTCTTGCGACGCCGGTGCTGAGGTTCGCTGGCGAACCCCTCCTCGACGATGGGGCTCTGGAGGTGCCCCATCGCGCGCGGACTCGTCCACGCTCCAATCGGCGTCGCCCACGCGGCGCCTGAACGAGCCGACCCGTTCCATTCCACAGAAAACGAGGATACATATGAAGCGAACCATGCAAGTGGAAACGAGCTTGGGGCAAGCGGCCATGGAGCGGACGTTCGTTTGGCTAACGAGCGTTTGAGTGCACGGCGCGTTTCGGTTCTAATACGCCGAACCAGCCCAGAGACAAAGTGCCAGCAGCAGCGCGCAACACGCAACCTCCACACCAACAACGACAACACCAAACAACACAACAACAACACCTTCACTCACGCACCATATTGCTGATGATGCTGGCGATGCTGGTGATGATTTGCGTCGTCATGTTCTGTTGCGCCTTCTCGTCGCTTGATCTTACTGGGTGGCGAGGGGGGGTCTGACGATTTGTCGTTTTGATGTGTTCAGGGCCGTCTTCATTGCGTTTGCTGCTACTGTGCTGTGCTGTGAACGCACTTCCCCCATTCGCTGCTTCTGCTGCCTGCGTGAGTGATGGCATCTGGTTTTCTGTTCCAAGCCTTCGTCGTTCGACCGAGTCTGGACGAAGGGGGGGGGGGGGGGAGGGGTCAGGAAGGAGAGGAATGAGACGAGGACCAGGAGAGTGAAGAGGTGAGGGGAACGTGATTCTGTGGCGAAAGCTGGTGGACTGCTAGCGGCTGCCCAGTCCAGAAACGGCGCGCGAGAGAGCGCCCCCAAGCTCGCAAACGTGCTTGTCGAAGTTGCCGTTGAGCCATGCTGTCTAGAAAGGCTTCTGCGAGCGCCTCTCGCGCTTGCTGGGCTCGGGTGCGGGCGCCCGGTCGAAGCCGAACGTCGTGGCCCGTCTTGATGCCCTCGTCCTCCAAGTCGACCTGCTTGAGCAACTCTACGACCTTGGGAAGTTCTGAGCCCTCGGCGCTCTCAATGCAGGGCCTGTCCAGTAGCTTGACGGCCCTGGTCACCTTGTTGATGTGTTTGTCCACATCCTTCTCGAAAGTCCCGATTTACCTCTGATTCTTGATGCCGGCCATGGTTTTGGTGACCTTACATTCCACGAGCATGTCCTGGTACTTTCTCAGCGTTGCCCTCACGTTCACTTGGAGGGTCTCCACCTCCTTGGCCATCTTCACGGTCTCGGACTCGCTCTCAACCTTCACTTGCACGTTGTCCGCCCCTGGAGCACCCGAAGAAGGGCCAGCCGTGGTAGACGACGCGAAGTGCTTCTCCATGTCCTCTTCGTCGGCCCCCCCCCCCTTGCACAAAAAGACGAACTCCCTCATCTGCTTGTCCGTCATCCGCTGCCAGTCGGTAGGCGCTGGCCACTCCGCGTACTCAGGCTCCGTGCGGCCTGTGAGGCTGTCGGGCCTCGACTTCAGCACCGTCCTCCACAAGGCGCCCTTCTTCTCCCCGATCTCGGAGTCCATCTTCTCCTGGAACATCCAGACGATGTCATTGTTGAACGTCTTCTCGGTGGAGTGCCCTTTGCTGACGGAGCTCTGCTTCTCGGCGTCCTTGCGCCTCATCTGGTGCGCGAAGGGCAGCTCCAGGAACTTCTTTTTACCGTCGCCTCTGGCAGACGACGCCTCGACGTCAGGATTGCTCTGCAGGAAGTGTTTCATCGATTGCATCTTCGAGGCGAGCTCCTTCTGCTCGGCCTCTGGGGCACCGGGCTTCCCCCGAGGCCGCTGAGTGAAACGTAAAGTGAAACATGAAACATGCATATTTCACTTTTCACTGTATGTTTCAGTGGTCAGCCGATTGGGTAGTCAGGTCCTCAGCCTTG